GGCAGCCGGTAAGGGACGGGCTCGGGGGGGTCAGCACTCGGTGTGGGGCTGCGGTAGGTAAGCGCAGAGCAGCTGCCTGTAGAGCTGGGAAACAGACGTCCGTGAAATTTAGAAAATGACGTCACAACTTAGGAGGACAGCGACATGATCCATGCTGTGAAATAACAACCCTTCTCACTAGTGACGGAGGGGGCACAGCCAGGCGTACCTAACCCGTAGCGAAGAGCGCAGCTCTTCCCCGAGGTTAATTAGGGAAAGGAGATTAATCAGAGGTCCGGCGCGTGTCTGATCCCTTCTGCAGCAGCTGCTAGGGAAGCGTTGGCTGCTGAAAGCGCCAAGGCGGTTTGAGCTTTTCATCTTTCCCAGTCGCGAGGCCAGAACCGAGCGCTGCGGTCGCGCTGGGGTGGCGATGAGGTTGACGTTGCTGCAGTGTCCTGTGAAGCAATTGCAGCGTGAGACCTCAAACAGGGGCACTGAGTCTCCTTTTATCACTACAAGCATAGTCTTACAGCTCTAAGAATAACCACAGCGTGTATTTCTAACTGCCAGAAAATCACATCTATTCTTCGGTTTCATGCCTTTCAAAATTATATAGGTAGTGAAACTGGGTTTTCCATTTGTTCATTTAAAAATAATTCTCATTTCAGTGGAAACAATTTTGAAATTATCATCATAGATGATGGAAGCCCGGATGGGACACAGGAAATTGCTGAACAATTGGAAAAGATATATGGATCAGATAAAATAGTGAGTTGTATGTTCTGTATTTTTTTCATTTTTATTTTATTGGAAGGTACTTGAAGGCCTTAGAGAACTGGAGTGGAGTCCCTGGATTCTGCACTTTCTTTACATCCTTAAACAAGTTATCGAAGTTTTTGTCCACCATTTCAGACAAATGTAAAATTACGATAGTCCTGCAGCTGCTTAGCGGCACTACAAACTCGTATGCAGAGTCACGAATTAAAGTTTGCAAAACGTTTTCGATACTTTGTGCACTGCTGTGTGCTATTGAGTAATGAATCACTATTGGTGTTGTGTTGTGTTGTGTACTTTGCGCATGCCTGAGGGAAAGATGAGGTTTGGATAAGCTTTCATTTCAGTTGACTGCAGGAAGATGGAAACTGGAAAGATGAAAGCTAGTCTGGTTTTGTGATTTATTTTTAATCCATCTAGTTGCATTCCTCAATAACAGGACTTTTTTTTTTCTATTTAATGTATAACAGGACTTTTTTCTATTTAACTGTAGAACCATCAATTATATACAACAAGATAGTGTCATTCCTGTAGTCTTTATGAGCCATTAAAGTAACTTTTTTTTTTTTCCAATAAAAGCTTTATCATAGAACAGTGTAAAAACCCAACGTTCAGTTTGATAGTTTTGTGTTGTAAGCAGTGTCAGGCACTTAATCTAATTACTGTGGCGCTAATCTATTACTGTGTAAATGTAAGGTTTTAAAGAGTATTTGTGAATTAAGTACCATTTATAGAGATTACTTTAAGAACAATGTATATGGGAAGTTTTAGAGTCTTTTTTTTTTTCCCCCCTTTTTTTTCTGTTTTGATACTAGTAATAGGAAAGTTTCAAGTATTTAGCCAGCCTTTCCTCGCTGCTCAAGAGTTTAATTTTGAAGTTTAATCTGAGGACCAACCCCTGCAGCGGTGTTGAGCCAAGCACACTGGAGTGGAATTACGTGGAGGCACTGCCTTCAACTCACACTGATGTTACTGCAGAAGTGTAATCAGCTGTGGTTTTTTTCATTAGGTGAATTTTCATTGTTTCCTGATAATTTTATTTTTTCTTACCTGAAGTTCAGTTCTTTGTTTCCTAGCAAAATCATTGGTCTGATTTGTGCTCAGGAGTCGCCTTCCAAATAACTCCACGGGGCTTCTCACTTACTACATTTTGCTTACTGAACGTGGTATGTAGTTAACGAGAGGCCAACATGTTCAAGGAAGTAGATGAGGAATCAAAGTGGGTTTTTTTTCTTGTTAATGTTCAAATTTAACTATTAAAGAAAAAAAAAACCCAAACAAACAGAACCAAAATAACAAATCAGCAGAAGCACTAATGATTACTAACTCTTTCATATCCGTGTCCTTCTCTGCGTTACGTTAGTTATGACCTCTCATAATGCATGAAAATTAGCCAAGACTTAGAAGTGAGATTTAATATTTGTTTCTGAAGTATATTTAGATGACTGCTTAAATATCTACCCTCTCCTCCCCAAATGCTGACTTATATCAAAGGCACTTCAGGAAGAGCTGAAAGTTAAATTACTGTCATGATGATCTAAAAGTTACATTCGTCTTTGGTTAGTGCTGGTGCCCCGTTCTCCCCCTGCACTTCATATGGCCCTGCAGGAGCTGAGGATCCTGGGCACAGGTTTAAAGCTTGGTCACTCGTATCCTGCAAGATTACTAATACTGTTATATGGTCATTATTCACGGGTTATATCTGTATGCACATGAAAATCTTGAAATTTATATTCAGTACTAAAAGTGTGCTAAATCGCTTTGGGAAACTTGCTAAAATATTTGCTGTTAGTGCTTGTAATTCCTTAAAAGCGATGGTGCTGGGGAGACTGTTGTTCAGATTTATAACTGTATTTCAGATAGCGGAATTTGAAGAAATCCTTTAGTTACTAAGATGGTGCTTTTAATTTTGTTTTTTACTGCAGAACTGCCAAGTAAAGGTTAAAAGGGGGTTGTTTTTAAATATGACCTGATGAAATACCTGTTTAATATAACAGTTTGTTTCTCCTGTATTTTGACAGATAAATTTATTTTTATATGTTATCTAGATTTCTAAAAATGAAAAGTACATTTTAAAATATTCTTATATCTTGAAAATAACGAATTTTAAGGTGTCACTAAAATTAACTTAAAATTGTACTTCCAGTAATGTATGTATATTTTAATATATCCTGCAGCTTCTAAGACCCAGAGCAAGAAAGTTGGGCCTCGGTAAGTCCTTATTAACTCTGGTTAGTACTAAAAAAAAAAAAAAAAAAAAACAAACTAAAAAAAAACCCTGCAGTATTTTTTGATTGATTCTAGTGTATAAAGTTCCAGAAAAATCACAGTAAAGCCCAAAAGCAGAAATATGTTTTCATCCAGTTTTTTGTAAGTGAACAAGCTTAAAAACCACACCAATAAAAATCACAGAGTATTATTTATATCAAGTTCCCCACAACCTCAAACCTGAAAACTGTGGTCACTACAATTCTGTACAACTGTACTTTCCTATTAACATCGTGCTGCTTCTCTCCCATACTGCATTCCCTGATTACAGAATGAGGGGTCTAAATTGAGGAAAAAACGTAATTTTTTTACAAGAGTAGCTGCTATATTTGTGTGGAAGCTACTGATCCAGAGGGGACAATGGTACTTTCTGTGCAATCTACCTGTGTGCAGGATGCCTCAAAAATTTGACCATAGTTCATGCAATCTCCAGAGAAGGCTGGGATGTTTTTCTGCCACGTATTTGGACAGAGCTCTTCACAGTTAACCCATTTCAGTGTGAATTATGACTATAGTTAAATAAAAAAATACATATCTGACGGATGTACAGCACTCAAACTACTAACGTATTGTCTCACCTATTAACTGAGATGTGAAGCGAAGGTTTTGAAGTACATGGCAAAAGTTACTCGTGTTGCAGAAATCTCACTAATTTGGGAGCCAATCTTGTACCACTGAGATTGATCATTAAAATTTGCATGGAATGATGCAGGACTGCAATTTTATAGCTCCGATGCCATATTTCACAGAGTATGCAAATCAAGTTTGTCATTATTTGCTTTAGAAAAAAGCAGATATCCTAGGAAGTCACAAATGGCATTAAAACTTGTAGTATGGAAACTATCCTAAAATAAAGCGGAGATATTTCCATCTGTTAAGATTCATGTTGTATCCTTATCCCTCCTCTCTTACAACAGGAATGGAGAAAGTGATAAAATGCAATACCTTGTTTGACTTATTGGAACTCAGTATCTGCCTTTCTTGCTAAATGTCTTGGCAAGCCCCACTTCCATGTGCTGGTAAAACATTTGAGGTGTCTTGTGTACTGAGTGCTGCAGCTAACTAATTTGTCCAGTCCACTGAACAAAAGTAAAATTCTAATTTTGATATTGAATTGGCTATTTAAATTCATCTTTCTAGACTTTTTTCTACATCTCTCATTTATCTAAAACTCCAAAAAGCTTACATGTCTTTATTGTTGTTTTCTGCCTTTTCCTTCTTTGTCCTAATTTGACCAGTATTATGGTTTAAAACTGACTGAATTTAAATTTTTCTTGTACCGTATCTACTAATCATGCACAACACACAAATCCCTGACAGTCCTACTGTGTAACTTTGCAAACAACATGGAAAAGAAAGGAAAGACAGGTTGTTCATTAACCAGGAGTTTAGTTTCCTGTGAGAGTGCCTGGTAAGGATACCAGCTGAGAGTGTTTCGTTTTCAGTTTTAGCTCTTCCTTATGAAGTTAACAGAAAGACTCAAGAGTAATTTGGATCAGTGGAGAGTATATGCCAGATTTTAATCTCTGTTGTGCTGCCATACTGTCCTTGGAAGCAGTGCTATCTTTGAATGCTATGACTCAGATCAGAAATGTGCATTATTGAGGAAAACTGTAATAGCAAAACTTGTTCCAGCTCTTAGCAAATAGCTACACCAGTTCATACAGGATGAATAAAACACAACAAATTCTAAAGTAAGAAAAAAAAGGCTGTCTTCAGATTAGGTATCAGAATATAATTCATGGTGTCAAGGAGAACAAACCAAAATCTATATACCACTAATAGTAAATTCTGAGTCTAGAAATCAGTTTTTTTTAACTGTCAGTGATTATTTTGTTGTCTGTGTCCTATTTCTAGTATTCTGTGGCTCATAAGTGCCTATGGCACTTCTGAAAATGATATTTCGAATAGCGGCCTACTTATTAAGTTATGTTTCTCTGTGCATTTTTAGTGCAGTAAGGTTTGCCAAAGTTTATATTTATACAATCTGAAAGTATAGGGAAAAGGAAAAATAATTTTAATGTTTGACAACTGATACATAATTTAAAAATAAATTTTAGGAGTTTTTAGTTGATCCTTTTCTAGTATAACTTAGAGATTTTTAGAAACTAAGTGAAGACTGTGGCTAGAAGATTGCATATGTTAAAACAGCGAGGGAAATGATTTCTGTACTATTTTCATCAGGCACTGCTTATATTCATGGAATGAAGCACGCCACTGGGAATTTTATTGTTATTATGGATGCTGACCTCTCTCACCATGTAAGTCTGTATTTTATGTACTGTGGTTTTAATCTGTTATAATTAAATTTTACTTTATTTTATTTTTACCCCCACCCCTTTCTCTTTTCTGATCTGTTTTCCTTCCATTTCAGCCAAAATTTATTCCAGAGTTTATCAGGTAGGTGCTGATTGTAGAATGAGAGAATGCTTTCTGAACATTTATTGTTTTGTAGTAATATTTGATAGCTTTATATTCTTGCATTAGCTGTCTAGCTGTATTTGATAGCTTTATATTCTTGCATTAGCTGTCTAGCTGTAGTAAGAAAATTGGCAAGGCAAGAATTGAAAGCTTTGAAAAGCGTATATATAAATGTCATCTTCCAATTCTAATGATTTCACGTAGGGATATTGAATAGAGGACCATGTCCTCAGTTATTGCTGCAATACTTCTCTCCCTTTTGCCTACCTCTTACCTTCCTCTCCCTGTAACACTTCAGTTTGTGAGAAACGGTCAAGAGGCATTACGTTGGAGGCTGAGGGTCGCAGTCTGTGTAATTTTCAACTTTCTTGCTTAGTACTACTGGAGGCCTAAAATTTTAGATAAGGTTCTGCAGCAGTCAGGCATGGTGTGGACATAGTGAATAGTTCCAGGCTTTTTTTTTTTTTTTTTTTTTCCCTTACTATGAGTTTGTGTAATTTTGATTTTAAATACAGATTTAAATATTTTTCTGTCTTCTGTACTAGAGAGAGGCTTTAAAAATGCATAAGTTGGTCTTTATAAATTATTAATGAAGTAGTCTGTGAAATTCTGTGACATAGTTCGTAAAAGATTCCCTGAAATAGCTCTTTATAATAGAACAATTAACAGGTTTTTAAATGCGTAATGCTTATAACCATCATACTGTTGCTTTCCTCTCTACTTATTTGTTCAAAGGTTTATAAAATTCAGATTTTGTACTAAAAGAGTGATTGTTCTTATTTTGAAATCTGTACTACCTTCATATAAATATTCCTCCTGTTTTTCTGATAAAACCAATTGCTTATAGAAAACAGAAAGAAGGCAATTTTGATATTGTATCTGGAACAAGATATAAAGGAAATGGAGGAGTATATGGCTGGGATTTGAAAAGAAAATTAATCAGGTTAGTATTTTTCTAGATATTTACACATAAATTTGTTATTTAGAAATAATAATTCCAAGTACTTGATTTGTGTGAGCTGAACTGAGTCTTTAGTCAATAGTACTGGGTACTGCAAAATTATATTAAATAATAGAAACATGCATGATTTGCAAATTCTTTGGTTAAAACCCACCAAGAAAGAATGTAATGATAAGACCAGGCTTGAGAAATGGGTTGGAACAGTGGACAAATCTGCACGGCATCAGGTTGGGACAGTCTTTCTGCTTCATCATCCAAAGAATGAGCTGGGACTATGACACTTTTGTCAGGTTTAAAAGACACATTTAGTTAGCTGTAATAGCTGTAATGGTCCTTTCCCTAAGCAGTAAATCACTTGCCAAACCCCTCTGTTGACACTCTGGTTTGTCATAAGTTAAGAACTATCTGGCACGATCAACGTCAATAAATCATTACTTAGACCTTACTGGAAAACAGTTACAGTGAACACTAGGGAGAGGTTTCACCCATAAAGCAAAGAGGAAAACTGTCAAGGTCATACAAGCATATGGAGGCTGGCATCTCAGGTTTACAGGGACTTACAGATTTTGAGGAGGTAATTGACAAGTTTCTGCATAGTTTTTCTCTCTTACACCTGATTTAAGAGAATAGGCATAAGTTAATGCTGATTTATATGTTACTGTAAAGAATTAGGAGCAGAAATTGTGTTACCAGTCTGATCTGGAGATAGTATCACAGGGACTGTATTCGGATTTTTCTTGGTTTTTTTTTTTTTTTTTAATGGCTGGAATAAGTGCTCATCTTTTTGTGAATCTAAATAATATATACACCCCCAAAAAAGGAAGAGAGCTAAATGGACATTACAGAGGAATCCTTTTACATCATACTGGACAAGGTGAAGGACTTGCACATCTTATCAGTGTGTAACATAGCCCTCAGCAAAGTAGTCATGACTGCCTTTTCGGTCTCACAATGTTTTTCATCAGTGGAGCTTATCATAGTATGAAAGCAGTGTAAACCAAATCTGAACCTTGATTTTCTAAATCCAAATCTCACATTTGTCCAGGAAGCATTTTTATTCTCCGCTTACAGTGAACGTTAGTCAGAAGAAAACTGTTGTTTTGACTGTTGTCAAATTTGTTTCTTTTGTATTGTATTCGTGTGTTGTAGTGACAGTTCTACCATAAAGAACCAGATTGTAAACCTCATTTCTAAAAATCATTGTTTTCTCCTTCATAGAGAAGTTCAATAATCTACTAATCACCTACATTTGAAAAACAAAACGTTGGGTTTTGATTTCAAGATTCTATGATTTATTAGTCAAATATAGCAGTGAAAACATATTAGAAATATAGTTTTTCATATTAATCAATAAAAGGTTTCTTTTTGTGTAGTAGTAGGATGATATTTACATATTTTCTAGAAATTCTGCTTGATCTTTCGAAATTGTGTACTGAGCAATTTTGACATTCATGTTTTCTTTCACAGTCGTGGTGCCAATTTTATAACTCAGGTTTTGCTGAGACCAGGTGCATCAGACTTAACAGGGAGTTTCAGGTATGGGTCTGGTTTGCAATTCATAAAGTTTTATTTGACATCAAACTGCTGAACGAGGAACTGGAGTAAGAACAGACCTTCCTCACTGAGGACTATGAACTCTGTTTGGAAAAGGTGTAAGAAATAGTAGACTAGATTGCAAGAACTGTTGCTCCTATGACTTTGTTAAAGATTTTAAAAAATAGTAATGATGTGAGTGATTACAGTTAAGATTCCGACACACTGTCTTGATTTCCGAAGTTCAGAAATTGTGCTTTAGGTTTCATTTCCTTTTAATCATTTACAGGTTATACAGAAAAGAAGTCTTACAGAAACTAATGGAAAAATGTGTTTCTAAAGGATACGTCTTCCAGATGGAGATGATTGTTCGGGCTAGACAGTTAGGATATACTATTGGAGAGGTATAGTAAAAGTTTTGATAAGTATATTGTGCTTTCATTTAAATGTAGATGGAGATTACTGGGAGCCTAGGAAATTTTGTGCGCTTCCAAGAGGCAAGATTTTCAAATCGATATAAAGACATTACGTATGTAGAACTCTATTTTTCCAACTTTTCCAGGTGAATACCGGATCTGAAATTCCAGTTACTTATTCCCCTGGCTGATATGCTTCTCAGATCCTTCCCTCTTCCTGTTGCCATTTCTTTAGCTGCATACAACTTAACAAGATTCTTCAAAGCAAGGAAAGAAGTCAAAATACACCATGAAGCTGCTCTGAGCCTTTTCTTTTCTCTTTCATATTGTACAGACATCTCTTGTTAGGTCTTTTCAAATTTGTTTTCTCCAGCAACCTGATTGTATTTCAGATTTATTCTGTTCTCTGTCATTTATTACCTTGTTATTTTCCAACTTTCCAGCTATCACAACTTTCCACTTCTTAAGTCTTTGAATGTGCTGTCTACAATCCTTGAAAAAGACCTCCAAACAATTGTTAGATCCTATATTTCCAGCAGTCAAATTGCTGCCTTTTGTATTTCATTGAATTGCTCTTGCTGGTGTCTTTAAAGATGATTCACTGGAATTCTCTCTGCAGCCAAATCTCAGAACCAGTTCTTCATCATCATTTTCATGACCGTGAATTGTCAGAGAATACTGTTGCTGGTACTTCCCTCTCTAAACCTTACATGTTGCATTTCTCTGTCAACATTAGGTAGACTATTTCCATACAGTAAAGCAAACTGTTTTCTTCCACGTTTCTTGCTTATGGAGCAACATCACTATCCTGACTGTAGCTGCGGTTTGACCCTAATTTTTTTCATTTTCACATCCAGCTGCATTCATGTATTGCTTTCTAATATTGCTGAATTAAATCCTCACCTGTCTATATATCCAGATACTGAAGCCTAGGGTGAGATGAGGTTTTATTTACTATACATTTTTAAAACAGTAAAATACACTTCTCTGGCTTTAAAAAAAAAATGCAATCTTGAGTTGCTCATCCCCCTTCAGGCTGCTGCTGCAAAGACCTTTTGTCTGTCTATTATTTGATCCCACTACTCATTTATTTACATGGCTCTACTGGTTGTATAGCATCAAAGATAAGACATTTGTCTTCCAGTTCAAAGCCTGACGGACAGTCTTCACTAGGCCTGATGTCTCCCAGTCAGTGTTGAGACATGGGCTCTGTTTTGTGATGGGTTTGTTAGGCCATCCTCCCCAGTTCATCTGTTCCATTCTCAAGTAAGCATCGTCTTCCCTCCTCCTTTGGTTTCTCACATGTGGGAAGAGTTCTCTCTAACATCTGAAAAGTTGCTTCATTATTCTGCTTTGGCCTTGTCTTTCAGATTTACATTGTGATACCTGTAACAAACTTGACAGTGGTTGGGTTGCTGACATAGACCTATAAATAAGACTATTGTACTTCTGCTGTTCTGTGTATCATCTCTATATTGTAACTTCCTGGGGCAGGAAAATTTTCCATTACGTTTCAAGTACATTGATACAGTATTTCCTGATCAATACCTATGATCTTTATAATATATTTTATAATTATCCAAATAGTAATACCGAAATTCCAGAAGAGGTGACACTCGGACGTCTAATTCCTGGTTTGTGGGTGCTGCAAACACCTGTGTTCTACAGGCAGAATAGGAGTTTTTATGCAGTTGTAAAATGTAGATACAGTTGTGAGAATAAAATATTTCTTAAGCAAAGTTGAAAGTGAAGATTGAGACCTGCCAGTCTAAAAGGAACAAACGGATGATGAGATGAACTGACACAAGCTATACCTGCATAGTCTTGTGTGCACCTCTGTTTCATTTTGCTGTACTTCTTTACCCTATGTGAAATGTACCACAGTGCGTGGAATACCCCCTTTCGAAAATGCTTCCTTTAAGACTAATGATAGAACTTCTTATGCCAGAAAGGCAAAGTCCAGCAACAACACAGGTGGTTAAGTCTTGTACTGAAGGGAAACACTGGATACCTTTTATTAGATGAGGTATTAACCATTCTTTCATCACTGGTCAGAAAATGTCGCTTCTGGCATCCTGCACTGACTACATATTCAGTCCTTTGTGTCCATGCCCCGTAGACCAGCTGGCTGTAGTTGCCAGGATGGTGACTGGGATCATCAAAGGGACCCTACTAAGAAAGCCAGGGTCGTTGTCGAGTCTATCTGCGTGCCATTTTAGGTATCTTCCTTACCATCTTCTCGCCCTGGGTTCTCTTCTACCGTGGACTGATCTGCTAGAATTGTGAGAAATCCTCGGTCCTGGCACAGATGCAAGGGTGTGGTGACTTTTGTGTTCTACTTGCCAGATGATTTCTGGTTGAAACTGCCAGCAGAATGCCAAGCCAATTTTTTTAATGACTTTTGCAAATGTAGTTATTTCATTTTAGCCCCTGAAGTATTTCAGTTTTGCACACAAACGTATATGGAAATTCTTGAATATTCTAATACAGCGTTGGCAGAATGTCCTGTCATGTGTCATTTGTACATGGTCAAATTACTGAAAAGCAGTATGTTCCTGCCATTTCATGAGTAGTGAGTTGATCTGGACAGTAGGACTGCTTAAGTAAGGAAAACAAAGTTAGTGTTTTAAATGCCCTTTAAACCTTTAAATAATCTATAAAATGGTCAAAGACAAAGACAGGTATCGCTTGTAAACTATGCACTAACTGCCATATTCAGATGTCATCCTCTGGCCAGTGGTGCAGTTGAACAGAATGCCGTCTCATGGTGGCGGGAGATTTTTGCCTTCCTGAGGCATTGAGTCAAAGGTATTGAATTTAGCTAACAAGGAAAGTGGTGAAGGTTCATTTTAAGCCCCAGGCTTTTAGTGCACTTAAGCTATTAAGTTTGTTCTGACTGAGTAATGTCTTTGGATCATCTTTAAAGGTGATAAACCAGCTAATTTCGTGCTCCCCAGCTATGGAGCATCATTAAAGCCACTGGTAAGAACTGACACAAAGGAAGCCAATCTGGTGCTTGCCTTCTTCCCGTGCCTAAACATGCTGTGGTTCAAAGGCCATTCTTTTGTTTAAAGAATATCTGATTATTTAGGTTTTGAACCTTAAAAATAGTTTTGCTTGTTTCAACAGGTTCCTATTTCATTTGTGGACCGTGTCTATGGAGAATCTAAACTGGGAGGCAATGAAATAGTCTCCTTCTTAAAGGGACTCTTGACCTTGTTTGCTACAACATGATAGTTTATTCCTCAATTAACTTTTCTAGAAAAACATTTTCTGACATCTGTGTGGTTTTTAATATATAATAGCAGACGCTTGATAATTTGTGTGGTGACCAGAAGACCTGCTATAAACTAACAATTAAACGAACCACCAATAATAAACTAAATATATTGTATCCCAAAATGCTCCTTTCAAAATAAATGAACTGTATGTTAAACTAAAAACTAATAAAGACTAATGCTCTATTCTATTTTTGTAAAAATAATAAAGTCTTAATAAAGAACACAAAGCTAAATGATCTCTTGCATTTAGAAATGAATCATTATTCAGCAGAAGCTAAAGATGATTTTGAAATGAAGACAAGCAAGGACATAAAAAAAAAAAAAGACAGAATTTATCTTTGTTCTGTGGTTTGCAGATAGTATTTTAAATATATACCAGTTGGTTCCCTTTCTTTCCTCGGCACGCATATACATGTATCTTAAAGCAGATACACAGAATAGTTTCTACAGAACTGATAACAGCTTGTGTAGTTTAAGAGGAAACAGAGATGATTACAGCGATTTGTTCTTTGTAAAATTGTTCCTAGACTGGAAAGAAGGAATATTCTTTGGATAAGAAAGAGAATTGTATGTATGGAATTATTTTGTATTCTGTGTGTTTGTCCAGAAGCAGATGATTCCCTTTTCCTATTTTCTTGAGAAACTACACGTTTTTAGAATGTATAAAACTGGAGTGTGACATCTCACCCAACTTTAGGGTGACAGAAGACCCAATTCACCTCACTGAAGACACCTGATAAATTTTTCTTATGTCAAATAACAGCTTGCAATGTAAAATCTGAATTTGTTCCAGATCCTAATGAACGAAATGCAGAGTAATACTATTTCTTGTTTCACTGTTTGATGTAGCCAGAACTCAGAAATTATGAAGCCCTTGCAATCAAATATGCACCTGGGGGGGGGAGAAGTAAGCGAGAGGATGAAGTTATTCTGATAATGGCTTTATATATACATGAAAAATATGTCCTTGTCCTTTGCGGGGGGTGGGGGAAGATAGTTCTGTGGGTACCTGTACCAGAAAATTAATGGTAGGAGAGGAGAAGCAACAAATGTCTTAAAAATTATGCCTATTTGGCTTTCGTTTGTCTGCACTCCTTTAGTACACTAGATACAGTTGTTAATATTAGAAAAAAACTTTAGGAAGTCTGTAGATAAATGATAAATTCATATTTCAGATAGTTATCACAGTGACAAAAATTAATTAAATAGAACTTTAAAACAAAAGCTTATTTTCTAGTGGACTGCTTTAGAGATATTCCTTTGTTCTTTAGTGTTGTAGAGATTCTGATATTTTTCTCCTTTTCTGAGTATTCAGAGCAAACGTTTCATAATTTGCTTTAAAATAATTAAAAAATGTAGCTGTAGGTTTTGAATCTACCTCTAACTGGGTTACAGTGACTTAACTGTACATTTTGTGACATTTGCCTGTACTTTTCCAGCAAATTATATATAATTTCATTTGGTGCAGGCTAATCAGATCTAATAATATATACAGAAATAAATCTCTGAGTCTAAAGGGCCACTGAAATATCCAGTGAATAGGTATCATCTATTTATGTTTCATTTGGAGGTTTCGTGGCTAAAATCAACATTTTAAGTTGAAAATAGGTACGAAGTTTTTAATGACCAAATAGCGAGTTTTTAGATGTTAATTCAAATTTACAGACTATTGAAAGCCATTTGTTAGAATACAAATTGACCCTCAACAAGATCATATTTTTCTCAGCCTTTTATGTAGCAATATATAACTAAAGTCCATTACATTAGTTATTCATGATCTAATTGCTGCGAATTAGGGTTTAGCTTTTAGAATGTGCATGCCTACTTTTTAATTATGAAAATTACCTGGTAAATTTTCTTTATTTATTTACAAGATAGTGTTTGGACGAAGGTGCTTCTACATACAAATTAGGATCATACTACATGGCATATTTTGTGTGCTCCATTGTGAAAATTTGAAACGTGTCTGGGCTATATTCAGTTTTTTCGATAAAAAAGTAGTATTTCTTACTATGCTTAAAGGTAATGGTATTTAAGTTATCAAGAAAGAAGTGCTATAAAGAAACGAAAACAAGTGCTTCATGGCATCAGGACACAAGTAGACACTCTACAATACTTCTTGAAACAAGAAAAGGTCACAAGAGTAAAACTGATTTCAATAGCCTGTACCAAGCTACTTGGGAGAAAGCACTACTGCAAGGAACCAATGCATGGATCCAGTGGAAACACTCATGGAAATTTTCATATACCATGAAAACCATCTGGGGTTTTTTCCTAGCAAAAAGAGTGTATATTTTTTCAAAAAAAAAGGGGACTGGGCTGCAGATAACTCAGTGAATGTTGAACGTACTTTCAAAAGTTGTCTTACGGTAACTTTTAAAAACCTGAACTTCAGAAGAGGTAGCTGTTGTTTGTGCATTTGACTCTCAATGCACTTGCAGAGGGGAGAACCATAAAATAGTATGCGGTTAATGTTGAGTTAGAAAAAAAAAAAACCCAAACAGAATCTTTGCCCAGAACTGGCCTAAATCCCCTCTCCCTTCATCCTGTCCCACATCTCAGCCTGCAGTACTTTCTTTCCAATGCGTTTGTCCACAGAGGTGACTAAAAACATCTGGTTCTGAAGTATTCCCTGTCTTTGAGCACTTAGATCTGGCACTGCAGAAGCTCACCAGTACTCAAACACTGTTATGTACATAGGAAAACGTTGCAAAAACAAGCTCTAAGACTGCATTCTACCACTGACCTTTTCTCTTGCATGCACAGCTGTGAGAGTTCATGAAAAATAAGTATCGTAATACTGTAACCAGTGTTCAGAGCTCTAATAGAGGTCCTTCTTTAATAAAGCTAGTATCTTTTTAGCAAGTAATGGGGTGAAATAGCCATCACTTAATGCTACTTAAACTGTTTTTTACTTTTTTAACATAGAATCATAGAATGGTTTGGGTTGGAAGGGACCTTAAAGATCATCTGGTTCCAGCCCCCCTGCCATGGGCAGGGACACCTTCCACCAGGCCAGGTTGCTCAAAAGAAACTCTTGAGTTACTTGAATTTGTTCTCAGCTTCTTCTGATCAAGCCTCTTTGTATTTGAGGGCCACCTATGTAAATTCTTAACATAAACCCAAAAACTTTAAAAGAATAAGTATTGTAGGGGAGGAATGGCTTATAACGTAAGAAGGAAGTTATGCAGGAATGGCTATGCTATCTCTTGCAGTGCCCAATTATGGATGCAGAATGAAAGCAAGGAAGAAACACGGCTAGTGCGATCTTCGCCCAAGTACACCAACAGTCAGTAATAAAGGGTCTTTTGGAGCCAGATGTCAAGAAGGTCTGGACCTTTTAATGGTTCCTTGTGTTTTCTAAGAATTTGATTGCTTTTTGAATCCATTTAATGTTTTGGCTTCTACAGCATCCTATAGCAATGAGGTCAACAATTTTAATACGTGTATTTTGTGAAGTATGTTCTTTTGTTTATTTTAAGCTTACTGCCTAATAAGTTCATCAGATGTTCTCAATCAGTGGATTGAGAGCAGCCCTGCAGAGGAGGACTTGGGGGTATTGGTGGGTGAAAAACTGACTATGACCCAGCAATGCGCACTTGCAGCCCAGAAAGCCAACCATACCCTGGGCTGCAGCAAAAGAAGCATGGCCCACAGGTCGAGGGAGAGGATTCTGCCCCTCTACTCTGCTCTCGTGAGACCCCACCTTGAGTACTGTGTCCAGCTCTGGGACCCCCAACATAAGAAGGACATGGACCTGCTCGAGCGGGTCCAGAGGAGGGCCATGATGATGATCAAGGGGTTGCAGCGCCTGCCCTATGAGGACAGGCTGAGAGAGTTGGGGTTGTTCAGCCTGGAGAAGAGGAGGCTTCTGGAAGAGAAGACACCTTATAGCAGCCTTCCAGTACCTGAAGGGAGTCTGCAAGAAAGCTGGAGAGGGGCTTTTTACAAGGGTATGTAGTGATAGGACAAGGGGTAATGGCTTTAAACTGAAAGAGGGTAGATTTGTCCCTGCCCGTGGCAGGGGGGGGGGAACCAGATGATCTTTAAGGTCCCTTCCAACCCAAACCACTCTATGATTCTAGGATTCTATGTTCCCTGTTTCTTGTTTCCCATTTGCCTTTTCCTATTAATTTATCAACCCTGCTCATTTGCTCATCATACTGTCTTGTCTTTTTTACTTTCCTCAGACAGAAGCCACACCACACATTGCTATTCTCAAAATGTTAGTAGCAGACCATAGTAGAACAATAGAGATCAGGTGCCTAGAACTCCATACAATGTCTTAAATATTCATGTACTAGGGATTTATATAGTGGCATTTTAGTTTCCAGTTCCTTTCTTAATACCATTCAATACTCTACGTGCCTTGTTTTGGCCACCACAAAACACTGACTTGACATTTACAGAGAATTTTTCATTTTATGTCCCTGGTTTTACACTTCCACATAAATCAGCTTTTCTTAATTACATCCATATTCATTTCCTGTGAAGGCACAAATACGCTGCTAATGCACTTTCTCTATTATACTTTCTTAGGAATCTGTGTCTGCAAGCACTCAATCATTTGGCAAGAACAGGAGTTTTAATTCCTTCCTGGCTTAAAGCGGTATATATCATGGATATATTTGGTTGGGCATGTTTAAGGAAGAGGAGGAAGAAGGTAACTCACATTTTGCACCAGTAATATTCACTTTCCCCTGAACAGCAAACTGATTACCTCCACTGGCAGACAGGCAAGGCTCTGGGAAGATCTCTCGTTCGGTTACCGTGGGCCAGAGATTCAATGTGATGTATGAAAACTTACACAGCAGGCTCAGTTGTTCAAATCCATTAGAACAGCCAAAGCATGTGCTAAACTTTAAGCATGCAGTCCCAACGGACTTGAAGTTAAAAAAGAATGGATTGTGGAGTTTGCATGGCATATCATTAGGATTATCCTTGACCTAAGTTTGGTGCTTGCACTCTGGTTTGAGAGTACTTCTGAATGTATATCCCCAGCTGAGTCATGTAAGCAGCCGTGTATTAGCGTGAAGTTTTTTATCGGACAACCTGAAGCCCCCACTGTGAGATGAAACACATAACTGGGGGCTACTAGAATTGATACCACCTCTTGTCCAAGGACCTGATCAACTACACTACATGGCAGCTGGACTGTGAGCCGCTGTGGTCTCCTCATTCCCCAGCACCCTCGAGAGCCCTGCCTCAGGGATATGCAATACAGGTTCATAGCCTGAGGTATGGATTTTGTAACTCTTAGTCGTATGAAGATTTAGGTATGT